ATTTTTGTTATTCCAATGGATGGTAGCCATATCATTTTGGAAGGTAATTTGTTGTCGAGATTTTTGTTACTCCAATGGATAGTAGCCATGTCATAATGAAAGGTAGTCTGTTATCGAGATTTTGTTACTCCAATTGATGTTAGCCTTGTTATTATGGAATGTAGTCTATTGTCGAGATTTTTGTCACTCCAATAGATAGTAGCCTTGTCATTATCGAAGGTAGTTTGTTGTCGAGAATTTTGTTATTCCAATGGATGGTGGCATTTTCATTATGGAACGTAGTTTGTTGTCGAGATTTTTGTTACTACAATGGATGGCATCCTTGTCATTATGGAAGGTAGTCTCTTGTCGATATTTTTGTCACTGCAATGGATGGTAGTCTTGTCATTATGGAAGGTAGTATGTTGTCGAGATTTTTGTTATTCCATTAGATGGTAGCCTTGTCATTATGGAAGCTAGTCTGTTGTCGAGATTTTTTTTACTACAATAGATAGTAGCCTTGTCATTATGGAAGGTAGTCTGTTATCGAGATTTTGGTTACTCCAATGGAAGGTAGCCTTGTCATTATGGAAGGTAGTCCGTTATCGAGATTTTTGTTACTACAATGGATGGTAGCCTTGTCATTATGGAAGGTAGTCTGTTGTCGAGATTTTTGTTACTCCAATCGATGGTAGCATTGTAATTATGGAAGGTAGTCTGTTGTCGATATTTTTGTTACTCCAATGGATGGTAGTCTTGTCATTATGGAACGTAGTTTCTTGTCGATATTTTTATTATTCCAATGGATGGTAGCATTTTCATTATGGAAGGTAGTTTGTTGTCGAGATTTTTGTTACTACAATGGATGGCATCCTTGTCATTATGGAAGGTAGTCTGTTGGCGAGCTATTTGTTACTCCAATGGATGGTAGCCTTGTCATTATTGAAGGTAGTCTCTTGTTGATATTTTCATTACTCCAATGCATGGTAGACTTGTCATTATGGAAGGTAGTCTCTTGTTTATATTTTCATTACTCCAATGGATGGTTGCCTTGTCATTATGGAAGGTAGTCTGTTGTCGAGATTTTTGTTACTCTAATTGATGGTAACCTTGTCATTATGGAAGGTAGTTTGTTCTCGAGATTTTTGTTACTCCAATGGATGGTAGCCTAGTCATTATGGAAGGTAGTCTGTTTTTGAGATTTTTGTTATTCCAATAGATGGTAGCCTTGTCATTATGGAAGGTAGTTTGGTGTCTAGATTTTTGTTACTCCAATGGATGGTAGCCTTGTCATTATGGAACGTAATTTGTTGTCGATATTTTTTTTATTCCAATGGATGGTAGCCATATCATTTTGGAAGGTAGTTTGTTGTCGAGATTTTTGTTACTCCAATGGATAGTAGCCATGTCATAATGAAAGGTAGTCTGTTGTCCATATTTTGTTACTCCAATTGATGTTAGCCTTGTCATTAGGGAAGGTAGTCTATTATCGAGATTTTTGTCACTCTAATAGATAGTAGCCTTGTCATTATCGAAGGTAGTTTGTTGTCGAGATTTTTGATATTCCAATGGATGGTAGCATTTTCATTATGGAAGGTAGTCTGTTGTCGAGATTTTTGTTACTACAATGGATGGCATCCTTGTCATTATGGAAGGTAGTATGTTGTCGAGATTTTGGTTACTACAATTTATGGTAGCCTTGTGATTATGGAAGGTAGTATGTTGTCGAGATTTTTGTTATTCCATTGGATGGTAGCCTTGTAATTATGGAAAGTAGTCTGTTGTCTATATTTTTGTTACTCCAATGGATGGTAGCCCTGTCATTATGGAACGTAGTTTGTTGTCGATATTTTTGTGATTCGAATGGATGGTTTCGTTATCATTTTGGTAGGTAGTTTGTTGTCGGGATTTTTGTCACTCCAATGGATAGTAGCCATGTCATAATGAAAGGTAGTATGTTATCGAGATTTTGTTCCTCCAATGGATGGTAGCCTTGTCATTATGGAAGGTAGTTTGTCGGCGAGCTATTTGTTACTCCAATGGATGGTTGCCTTGTCATTATGGAAGGTAGTCTCTTGTGGATATTTTCATTACTCCAATGCATGGTAGCCTTGTCATCATGTAAGGTATTCTCTTGTTGATATTTTCATTACTCCAATGGATGGTTGCCTTGTCATTATGGAAGGTAGTCTGTTGTCAAGATTTTTGTTACTCTAATGGATGGTAGCCTTGTCATTATGGAAGGTAGTCTATTGTCGAGATTTTTGTCACTCTAATGGATGGTCGCCTTGTCATTATGGAAGGTAGTATGTTGTCGAGATTTTTGTTATTCCATTGGATTATAGCCTTGTCATTATGGAAGGTAGTATGTTTTCGAGATTTTTGTTATTCCAATAGATGGTAGCCTTGTCATTATGGAAGTTGTCTGTTGTCGAGATTTTGGTGACTCCAATGGATGGTAGCCTTGTCATTATGGAAGGAAGTTTGTTGTCTGTGTTTTTGTTACTCCAATGGATGGTAGCCTTGTCATTATGGAAGGTAGTCTGTTGTCGATATTTTTGTTACTCCAATGGATGGTAGTCTTGTCATTATGGGACTTAGTTTGCTGTCGATATTTTTGTTATTCCAATGGATGGTAGCCATATCATTATGGAAGGTAGTCTGTTGTCGAGATGTTTTTTACTACAATGGATGGCATCCTTGTCATTATGGAAGGTAGTATGTTGTCGAGATTTTTTTTATTCAATCGGATGGTAGCCTTGTCATTATGGAATGTAGTCTCTTGTCGATATTTTTGTCACTGCAATGGATGGTAGTCTTGTCATTATGGAAGGTAGTATGTTGTCGAGATTTTTGTTATTCCATTGGATGGTAGCCTTGTCATTATGGAAGGTAGTCTGTTGTCGAGATTTTTTTTACTACAATGGATGGTAGCCTTTTCATTATGGAAGGTAGTCTGTTGTCGAGATTTTTTTACTCCAATGGATGGTAGCATTTTCATTATGGAAGGTAGTCTGTTTTTGATATTTTTGTTACTACAATGGATGGCATCCTTGTCATTATGGAAGGTAGTATCTTGTCGAGATTTTCGTTACTACAATTGATGGTAGCCTTTTCATTATGGAAGGTAGTATGTTGTCGAGATTTATGTTATTCCATTGGATGGTAGCCTTGTCATTTTGGAAGGCAGTCTGTTATCGTGATTTTTTTTATTCCTATAGATGGTAGCCTTGTCATTATGGAAGGTAGTCTGTTGACGAAATTTTTGTTACTCTAATGGATCGTAGCCTTGTCATTATGGAAGGTAGTCTGTTATCAAGATTTTTGTTACTCTAATTGATGGTAGCCTTGTCATTATGGAAGGTAGTTTGTTGTCAAAATTTTTGTTACTCCAATGGATGGTAGCCTAGTCATTATGGAAGGTAGTCTGTTGTCGAGATTTTTGTTATTCCAATAGATGGTAGCCTTGTCATTATGGAACGTAGTTTGCTGTCTAGATTTTTGTTACTCCAATGGTGGGTACCTTGTCATTATGAAAGGTAGTCTGTTGTCGATATTTTTGTTACTCCAATGGATGGTAGCCTTGTCATTATGGAACGTAGTTTGTTGTCGATATTTTTGTTATTCCAATGGATGGTAGCCATATCATTTTGGAACGTAGTTTGTTGTCGAGATTTTTGTTACTCCAATGGATAGTAGCCATTTCATAATGAAAGGTAGTTTGTTGTCCAGATTTTGTTACTCCAATTGATGTTAGCCTTGTCATTAGGGAAGGTAGTCTATTGCCGAGATTTTTGTCACTCTAATAGATAGTAGCCTTGTCATTATCGAAGGTAGTTTGTTGTCGAGATTTTTGTTATTCCAATGGATGGTAGCATTTTCATTATGGAAGGTAGTCTGTTGTTGAGATTTTTGTTACTACAATGGATGGCATCCTTGTCATTATGGAAGGTAGTATGTTGTCGAGATTTTGGTTACTACAATTTATGGTAGCCTTGTGATTATGGAAGGTAGTATGTTGTCGAGATTTTTGTTATTCCATTGGATGGTAGCCTTGTCATTATGGAAGTTGTCTGTTGTCGAGATTTTGGTGACTCCAATGGATGGTAGCCTTGTCATTATGGAAGGAAGTTTGTTGTCTATATTTTTGTTACTCCAATGGATGGTAGCCTTGTCATTATGGAAGGTAGTCTGTTGTCGATATTTTTGTTACTCCAATGGATGGTAGTCTTGTCATTATGGAACGTAGTTTTTTGACGATATTTTTGTTATTCCAATGGATGGTAGCCATATCATTATGGAAGGTTGTCTGTTGTCGAGATTTTTTTTACTACAATGGATGGCATCCTTGTCATTATGGAAGGTAGTATCACTACAACATTTAGGCTCTCCAGCAACAATTAAAAAACGTTGCCAGAACTCTGAAAATCGTTGCCTAAAACAATAGGGGACGTTTTCTAGGCATCTCCTGTGCGAGCGTTGCCTATTGTTTGAGGCGACGTTTTTTTATGTTTTTTGGGAACGCTTTTGAAAAACGTGTCCTATAGTAAAGGAATAGGGGACGATTATTTACGGCCTCTGAGACAATGTTTTTTAAGCGTTGCGTTACCAAATTCGACTACAATTAACAATCGTTGCCTTAAACTTGAATCAGGAAGATCGTTTTTGAAGTGTAGCCATAGCTTATAGGTTGTTGTTTTATAGTGTCCACATAAAATATACAATTTTGCAATTATTATCAAAATAATATAGTCAATAATAATTGGCTTCAAAAATAATATTGATTATATAACTTAAACCATACATCCATAAAAATTGTAATATAATAAAATCGAGTTCAAACTTTAATTCAAGATATAGTATATAGAGTACACAAAATGCCTAACGTAACAATATTATTTTTAATACTTTGAAGTATGACCCTAGTAAAATAACTAAAAACATAGTTAAGCAAAAGAACAAAAATCATATTTCAAGTTTAATGCTTTCAACTACAAGCCAAAAAAAAGACATCATCCAACTCATTCAAGTTTGTCTTCTAGGAGTAAAGCATCCAGATCGTCGTCTAGAAATTCGTTAGATATGTCATCCTCCATAAATTCTTCATCTACGTCGTCCTCTTGAAATTCACCATCTATATCCTCCTCTTGAAATTCATCATCTAGATCTATGTCGTCCTCTTGAAATTCGTCATCTACGTCGTCCTCTTGAATTTTATCATTTAAGTCGTCCTCTTGAATTTTATCATTTATGTCGTCCTCTTGAATTTCATCATTTATATCGTCCTTTTCAACATCTTCATTGATACATTGCTGCATAAGAAAATAAAATAAAACACATTAACCATAAGTATTTTTGGTCCAAAGGACAATTAAGACATCAACAAGAATCAACAAGAATTAAACCTCCTGAAAGTACGTCACTGGAAGATGCACCGATGAATTTTGGACTGCTAGACATTTTACTACAACTGATGAATTTTTTGTACCAGTTATTTTGGAACCTCGTGCCACCCAATTTAGTTGATGAAAGAGATCTATTTTTAGGATTACTGGTTCTGCTTGAAGCTTTTGCTTTAGGGGTGGAACTTGGAGTCTTTGATTCTTCTGTTTCAGCTGGAAAACTTTTAAGTCTTGGTTCACTATTTGTGTAGGGGTAAGATAAATATTTGCTTCTTTTCCGAAATCGAGATTCAGCACCTGTTACGAAGGGGAAAAAATTGCCCAATGAGTGACTTGTATCCAACCAACATCATGAAATCACAAAATTGTATTTGCAAATTGCATCATATGAAAAGATGCCTAACTAATCCCAAACATTCAGCGCATTATATGACAATGAGGAATCAATTATGGAACCCCATCATAATAAGAATAAAACTAAATGATACATAACCAAAACAATGAAACTTAGGTTAATACACGATGCTCTCTTACACTTCTACACGTGAAACAAATGCCTATAAGGAACTAAATGCATGGATTCACCGTTTAAAATCTATTAACATTCACTGATGGTTGTATAGTATGTGAAATAAATAGGGTAACATAATAAAAGTCTAGTTTTCATATGCCAAAAAGTGTCCGTTCATCATAATCAAATCATGAAATCATTAAATGATATATAAGCTCTAGAGAGTAAGCATTAGTACACTTAAATATCAAACTTGCATGACTATCATTAACACAAGAGACTATGTAATTTAATAGAGTTTTCACAGTGATGTTAAACTTGACACACATCCTTCCTAAAGCAACAATTTATAGCTTGGCTAGTAATAATGTATCGAGACACAAGAGTTCAATAAATCATCAACTATCAAAACATACATTTACAAGAATAGCACAACAGATTGCACAAACGAGATAACCAGTTAAATGTGAATAACTTACCCCCTCGAGTTTTCTGAGAAGTGCCCGTCACAGGGGTGTCGTCAGTGTTTTTAGCCCCATATTCACGTCCTGACTCTGACACATCCATAGCCCCAGTATGATATAAGCAAGCAAACCAGATTCAGAAAAATACTTGGGCGAAGATTATGAAGCGAACATTAACAAAAACTCATAGATTAATTACAAGTGTATGACTTGAGGTATGAGTGCAAATCCAGAATTATCTTCCAAATGCAGAATTGCATGTACAGTGTAAATAGATTTACAAACTTTCATCGATATGAATACATAAACACAAACCGCTTTATGGAACAATTGAAGTGCAAAGTGAAGCTCTGATCTAGTGTGAAATGAGAGAGGAAATTTGGATGGAATCCCATCCTCAGAGATGCTACAAGAGAAGTTAAAAAACCGAAAATGAAAAATGAAAAAGAGGGAAAGGTGTAAGAAATTCTCACCATTCTCGGCGGTTGAAGAGCAACTCTTGGATTCTAGGATGCCCAATAAGAAAAATATTCGTTCAGAAATTTTACCGAAGACTTGGTGGACATAGCACGAAACACTATGCTAAAAGGATACTTTGTCCTCTGACTACATTTTCTAGTTTCTCCTCATTTTCTACCAAAATTTCCTTTGAAGATGCAAACTGCACTAAAAATATAAAAGTGAAGAGCTAAAGTATTACTTGTACAGGTGAATACTTACTACAATCATGACACTTTCATGGAATATCAACGGAGATATGAACACCCAAAAGATGTCGTAGGCAAAACCAGAAGAGAGGAGTACAGTCGCAACCTATTAAATTAGATGAATAAGAAAATGACAATAATTGTAATTGATGACAAACAGAAAAAATTAAGAAAAGGAAGAATGGTTAATTAACTGTAGATATAAGGATTCCATTTAGCTACCTTAATATTGGGTAATTGAGCCAGCTGCAAGACTGTTATCATCAAACAGATTCCCTGTTAAGAACAAAAAATACATTAAGTGAATAGCTATCAGTCAAAGATCAATCACACAGTTACTCATTGGTTTACAGTCTCAAACATGCTAGATAGCAAACAAACTTCCAGTGCAATGCTTCAGAAAGCTCAATAGGAACCAACCAAGATCCCAATGTTGTATTTGGCCCATGTGTGCAGACTCATACAGAGGCATTATTTAAAGATTTGACAATAATAAACTTGACGAGTATGTGTAGGGAAATGGGAATAATGGTCACAAGATTTCTAATTTATAGACTAATGAACAACGCTCAAGTAATCAGGTTGTTAAAATTGTTAAAACTTCAAAGAACGGTGGATGAGTAACCAGTTGTTAAATCAATTGGAAACTTAATAGATGAGCTATAAAGTTTGTTAAACCATGAATTCCTGTTTTGAAACTTTTAATAGGACATGTTCACATATGAGAACTAGGAAAATCCGACTACAGAAACCATTGCAAACTTCTACTCTAGTTTATCATACAAAGCTTCTAGCTTCCTCTCAACTTCAAATGACAGACAGTATTCACAAACAACATTTAAGAAAGGGAATTGACTTTTGTCTGCTAGGCATCTGAACAAAGTAAGATTCAATTTAGACACTACGGTGATAACAGAATTTAAAGAACTGTAATGAAGATACTAGAATATGAAACTTACAAAACACTTAGATTCAACTCAAACACAACGATACGAAATGCAACGCAACTCTAGTATATCTTCTTTTCTTCACATAAAGTTCAGCCACTTTATACCAACATGTAGAAAACTGTGACATTAAAGAGAATCATGACAGAGAGAAAGAAAGATCAAATAATTATAACAAAATGAATTTTGATAATAAACAATAATATTGAAAGGAACGTATAACTAAAAGAGGCTTAGTTTGCATTTTATATTTTCTATTTTTGGCCATTTCCCAGTACTGATCATAATCAAGTTCTTGCAGATATAATTATGAATTATATATTTAGAGAAAAACCTATTCTCTCAAAACTCAAGAAACTGTATATAATTCAAAAATGTCACATATTTAGAAATTGTACCATACAAAACCACAATATGTAGTCTTCTTTGCTCATCAAACTCAAGCATATATCATCAATTCCACCACTGCTTCAAAAGTACAATTCTAAAAGCTCTACTTTCTGATACAACTTTAGAATATTTGGAAAAAACCCTAATATTGAGACCCATATGAGATTCATATACTAAGTTCATAGTCAGAAATACATTTTTACCCTTCACTTTTTAAATTCTAGTACAACAATATCTTAGTAGCTATAGAAAAATAATATATTCATGTAGGGGCCATGTCTGATTTTCTCCATCAAAAGAAGAACCTATTGAACTCCTAAATCACACTAGCATCATTCTTCTATTACCATTCATTCCTTCATTCATTCAGTAACATCTACTTTTTTCTTTCCTTTCAATATATCATATCATTTCATACAATACAAACATTACATTACATACATACCCTTTTTCTCAAATTTAATAATTTAATTAAACACTTTGTTATATATTTTATAATATAGTATAGTATATTTGATAAATGATAAATGACAATACCTTTTGATCGAAGTAAATTCCTTGTCACTTTCTAAGCTCTCTTTTGTCCCTTCCCTTTCTAAGCTCTCTTTTGTCCTTCCCTTTTTATGAACACCTCTCTACAGAATCAATTACCTTTAAAACTACAATCAATTTACAAACACATTAAGATGTTTCCTAAAAAAACTATTTCTCTAAGGCTATAAAGCGAGAGACAGACAGTTAAGAAAGGGATGGGAGATAGTGAGAATAGCTAAAAACAAATGCAGTAAAGAATTGTTACATAAGTTTACCTTTTCCGCCGCACTTCCTGCATCCCCCGGAACTGTGTCTCCCGCAACAACCCTCCACTCCACCAGCTTTTGCAAAGACGCAACTGTCATCATCGCCTTCGGCAGATTGCGCAAACCCAAGATCGCACGACATCACCGACAACTCAACCACGACACAAAACCCAGACCTCTGGGACTCGATCTCTCATCCGCGACACCATCTCCAAGTGCCATTGATACCGAACCCACCGCGAAGCCCCATCTATTCATCACATAGCCACACCCAAGGCCACCAGAATCTGGATAGGAGGACAACACCGTCGCCGAATCGGGTTTTGATCTAGGGTTCATTATGTTGTTGTTGTTTTAGATGTGAGGTAAGAGAGACAGAAGATGAGGGAGAGAACACGAAGAAAAAATGTGGAAGGGAATAATGGACGGTGTGGCTTTTAGATTTTTTGTTATTCAATTTTCGTTCTAGGCTTTACATCACCACAAACCCGCCCCACTCATCTTGTTCATTTACTCTTTTTTTTTTCTTCCTGCTGGTAATATGTTTGGGCCAGGCCCAATTGCTATCTGCGTACCCTTTTTAATAAGACGTGGCAATAATTGAGAGGACTAGTAATGAAAAATATTTTAAATTTTTGTGTTAGAAAATTTTTTATTTTCTGTTTAATGAAATTTTTTTTAATATATATATATAAATTTTAGAGAAATATTAATAATGTGTTAGAAAAATTCCTGTTTAATTGAAATATATATAAGTATTAGACTAATATATATATATATATATATATATATATATATATATATATATATATATATATATATATATATATATATATATATATATATATATATATATATATATATATATAATTTTTTATTTTCTGTTTAATTGAAATTTTTTATTTTTAAATTCTTGTGTTAGAAAAATAATTTTTTTTTATATATATTAATAATGTTTAGAGAAAAATATTTGTTTTTTAGTGTATAAGTTTTGGAGGGAAGATTGCCATCAAAAATTTGATAATTCTAAAAAAAATTATACAACATTTCAGAAATGTAGCCTTTTATTAGAACTAATGTAACAATCTAAAAATGTCCCCAAAAATATTTTAGAGGACAATTGTCAAACATTGCTAAAGAAATAATATTTTTACGCTCTAAAATCGTCCCCAAAAGCAGTTAAGGGCACAATTAACAACCGTTGGCAAAAAAATAAAAGAGTATCGCTCCATAAACGTCCCCAAAAGTATTTTAGGCAACGATTATCAAGGGTTGCAAACATATTTTTGACAACAATCGTAAATCGTTGCCTATATGAATTTAAGGCAACAATTTCTACATGTTACCTAAAAAAGTGTTGCCAAAGACAACAAATGTTGTAGTGTATGTTGTTGAGATTTTTGTTATTCCATCGGATGGTAGCCTTGTCATTATGGAATGTAGTCTCTTGTCGATATTTTTGTCACTGCAATGGATGGTAGTCTTGTCATTATGGAAGGTAGTATGTTGTCGAGAATTTTGTTATTCCATTGGATGGTAGCCTTGTCATTATGGAAGGTAGTCTGTTGTCGAGATTTTTGTTACTACAATGGATGGTAGCCTTTTCATTATGGAAGGTAGTCTGTTGTCGATATTTTTTTACTCCAATGGATGGTAGCATTTTCATTATGGAAGGTAGTCTGTTTTTGATATTTTGTTACTACAATGGATGGCATCCTTGTCATTATGGAAGGTAGTATCTTGTCGAGATTTTTGCTACTACAATTGATGGTAGCCTTTTCATTATGGTAGGTAGTATGTTGTCGAGATTTATGTTATTCCATTGGATGGTAGCCTTGTCATTTTGGAAGGCAGTCTGTTATCGTGATTTTTTTTATTCCTATAGATGGTAGCCTTGTCATTATGGAAGGTAGTCTGTTGACGAAATTTTTGTTACTCTAATGGATCGTAGCCTTGTCATTATGGAAGGTAGTCTGTTGTTGAGATTTTTGTTACTCTAATTGATGGTAGCCTTGTCATTATGGAAGGTAGTTTGTTGTCGAGATTTTTGTTACTCCAATGGAAGGTAGCCGAGTCATTATGGAAGGTAGTCTGTTGTCGAGATTTTTGTTATTCCATTGGATGGTAGCCTTGTCATTATGGAAAGTAGTCTGTTGTCTATATTTTTGTTACTCCAATGGATGGTAGCCCTGTCATTATGGAACGTAGTTTGTTTTCGATATTTTTGTGATTCGAATTGATGGTTTCCTTATCATTTTGGTAGGTAGTTTGTTGTCGGGATTTTTGTCACTCCAATGGATAGTAGCCATGTCATAATGAAAGGTAGTATGTTGTCGAGATTTTGTTCCTCCAATGGATGGTAGCCTTGTCATTATGGAAGGTAGTTTGTTGGCGAGCTATTTGTTACTCCAATGGATGGTAGCCTTGTCATTATGGAAGGTAGTCTCTTGTTGATATTTTCATTACTCCAATGCATGGTAGCCTTGTCATTATGGAAGGTAGTCTCTTGTTGATATTTTCATTACTCCAATGGATGGTTGCCTTGTCATTATGGAAGGTAGTCTGTTATCGAGATTTTTGTTACTCTAATGGATGGTAGCCTTGTCATTATGGAAGGTAGTTTGTTATCGAGATTTTTGTTACTCCAATGGATGGTAGCCTAGTCATTATGGAAGGTAGTCTATTGTCGAGATTTTTGTCACTCTAATGGATGGTCGCCTTGTCATTATGGAAGGTAGTATGTTGTCGAGATTTTTGTTATTCCATTGGATTATAGCCTTGTCATTATGGAAGGTAGTCTGTTCTCGAGATTTTTGTTATTCTAATAGATGGTAGCCTTGTCATTATGGAAGTTGTTTGTTGTCGAGATTTTGGTGACTCCAATGGATGGTAGCCTTGTCATTATGGAAGGAAGTTTGTTGTCTATATTTTTGTTACTCCAATGGATGGTAGCCTTGTCATTATGGAAGGTAGTCTGTTGTCGATATTTTTGTTACTCCAATGGATGGTAGTCTTGTCATTATGGAACCTAGTTTGTTGTCGATATTTGTGTTATTCCAATGGATGGTAGCCATATCATTATGGAAGGTAGTATGTTGTCGAGATTTTTTTTACTACAATGGATGGCATTCTTGTCATTATGGAAGGTAGTATGTTGTCGAGATTTTTGTTATTCCATCGGATGGTAGCCTTGTCATTATGGAAGGTAGTCTCTTGTTGATATTTTAATCACTGGAATGGATGGTAGTCTTGTCATTATGGAAGGTAGTATGTTGTCGAGATTTTTGTTATTCCATTGGATGGTAGCCTTGTCATTATGGAAGGTAGTCTATTGTCGAGATTTTTGTTACTACAATGGATGGAGCCTTTTCATTATGGAAGGTAGTCTGTTGTCAATATTTTTTTACTCCAATGGATGGTAGCATTTTCATTATGGAAGGTAGTCTGTTTTTGATATTTTTGTTACTACAATGGATGGCATCCTTGTCATTATGGAAGGTAGTATCTTGTCGAGATTTTTGATACTACAATTGATGGTAGCCTTTTCATTATGGAAGGTAGTATGTTGTCGAGATTTATGTTATTCCATTGGATGGTAGCCTTGTCATTTTGGAAGGCAGTCTGTTATCAAGATTTTTTTTATTCCTATAGATGGTAGCCTTGTCATTATGGAAGGTAGTATGTTGACGAAATTTTTGTTACTCTAATGGATCGTAGCCTTGTCATTATGGAAGGTAGTTTGTTGTCCAGATTTTTGTTACTCTAATGGATGGTAGCCTTGTCATTATGGAAGGTAGTTTGTTGTCGAGATTTTTGTTACTCCAATGGATGGTAGCCTTCTCATTATGGAAGGTAGTCTGTTGTCGAGATTTTTGTTACTACAATGGATGGCATCCTTGTCATTATGGAAGGTAGTATCTTGTCGAGATTTTCGTTACTACAATTGATGGTAGCCTTTTCATTATGGAAGGTAGTATGTTGTCGAGATTTATGTTATTCCATTGGATGGTAGCCTTGTCATTTGGGAAGGCAGTCTGTTATCGTGATTTTTTTTATTCCTATAGATGGTAGCCTTGTCATTATGGAAGGTAGTCTGTTGACGAAATTTTTGTTACTCTAATGGATCGTAGCCTTGTCATTATGGAAGGTAGTTTGTTGTCGAGATTTTTTTTACTCCAATGAATGGTAGCCTAGTCATTATGGAAGGTAGTCTGTTGTCGAGATTTTTGTTATTCCAATAGATGGTAGCCTAGTCATTATGGAAGGTAGTTTGCTGTCTAGATTTTTGTTACTCCAATGGATGGTAGCCTTGTCATTATGGAAGGTAGTTTGTTGTCCAGATTTTTGTTACTCCAATGGATGGTAGCCTAGTCATTATGGAAGGTAGTCTGTTGTCGAGATTTTTGTTATTCCAATAGATGGTAGCCTTGTCATTATGGAAGGTAGTTTGCTGTCTATATTTTTGTTGCTCCAATGGATGGTAGCCTTGTCATTATGGAACGTAGTTTGTTGTCGATATTTTTGTTATTCCAATGGATGGTAGCCATATCATTTTGGAAGGTAGTTTGTTGTCGAGATTTTTGTTACTCCAATGGATAGTAGCCATGTCATAATGAAAGGTAGTCTGTTGTCCAGATTTTGTTACTCCAATTGGTGTTAGCCTTGTCATTAAGGAAGGTAGTCTATTGACGAGATTTTTGTTATTCCATTGGAAGGTAGCCTTGTCATTATGGAAAGTAGTCTGTTGTCTATATTTTTGATACTCCAATGGATGGTAGCCCTGTCATTATGGAACGTAGTTTGTTTTCGATATTTTTGTGATTCGAATGGATGGTTTCCTTATCATTTTGGTAGGTAGTTTGTTGTCGGGATTTTTGTCACTCTAATGGATAGTAGCCATGTCATAATGAAAGGTAGTATGTTGTCGAGATTTTGTTCCTCCAATGGATGGTAGCCTTGTCATTATGGAAGGTAGTTTGTTGGCGAGCTATTTGTTACTCCAATGGATGGTAGCCTTGTCATTATGGAAGGTAGTCTCTTGTTGATATTTTCATTACTCCAATGCATGGTAGCCTTGTCATTATGGAAGGTAGTCTCTTGTTGATATTTTCATTACTCCAATGGATGGTTCCCTTGTCATTATGGAAGGTAGTCTGTTGTCGAGATTTTTGTTACTGTAATGGATGGTAGCCTTGTCATTATGGAAGGTAGTTTGTTGTCGAGATTTTTGTTACTCCAATGGATGGTAGCCTAGTCATTATGGAAGGTAGTCTGTTCTCGAGATTTTTGTTATTCCAATAGATGGTAGCCTTGTCATTATGGAAGTTGTCTCTTGTCGA